CAAAAGATGGAGAGCAGAATGCTTAAGAAATTCAAAGCAGAACATTACAAAGCAGAGGCAGTGCCCAGAGGTCTGATCCCAACCACTTTTAAAAGAAAACAAAATTATTACTCAGATCTTTGCTATGAAACTTGAGTGGAATCAGGATTAAAGTTCTAGGCCACCAGAGAAAAATCACATGTAATAAAGTAACACTGCACTGTCCCAAAGTAGTATAAGAAAAATGTACTGGCATGTGCTTCTGGTGTTACAAGACAGGCCAACCAAAACTTGTTGGATAAAACTCCTTACAAATTTGCAGGAATATGAAGCAGCATTCAGAATGAGCACAGCTCAGAGGAGGTTTACACATAGTAAACAAGCGATGCTCCTGGTGAAACGCGCTTTCACTAGGATGTGTTTTATGATTTTCACATCAGTCTATTAAAACTAGGAATGACCCCATCTTCACTGGCCATGAAGTATTTTTATGGCATTACTTTTTGTTACTTTTCGAGGGAGATGATTTGTCAGAAATGTTTGTAAACACAGCACCTGCTGCTAGCCCTTTCCCAGGAAGCAGCTGCCAGTAGGGTGAAGATACAGCCCTAACAGCTCACTTTTATCTCCCTTCGCTGCACGATTGTCCTTGCTGATCTTCAACTCCCAGCTGTTAGAGAAAGGAGAGATTTTTGACTCCAGAGACTGCAGCCACAGCCCATGGAAAGCAGAAGTGAGCAAAAGTCAATTTGCAAAAGTCAATACACCCAGCTCCCTGCCCACGACAGACAGACTTCATTTTTTCAGATGAGACACATCCCCGTCACGCCACTAAACAAAAAATAATTTTTTTTAAGTGCATGACACAATGGAGGAAAGAGGTTAGTGCCGAGGGTAAATTCCAAATGGTTGGGATGTTTTCCTAGACTGTCTCTTATGTAACCCCCAAAATTCAGCCTCCCAGCAGCCTGCTGGGAGCAGAGGGGAGTGGGCAGGGAGCTCATTGACAATACCAGGCACATGTGCACATACACACACAGACACCACACACGAGGCAATGAGAATTAGCTAGTCCACTCCAAATGTCAGCCAATTTATGTAATATCCTTTTACTCAGCATTTCTTATTCACTGGAGGAGGAAGAATCTCAATAATTTTGTCAGCAGTCTCTGGAGGATTGAAAATGAGGGAAGTCAGTTGGATTTATAGTGTCTCTCCAGTCAGTGCTGTTGCTGTCTGCTTGACAGTCTGTACAGCAATTAAATAAACAGTGAGCAAGCAGGTACTCACTTCATAAGAGCCACCAGTGAACTTGGTTTTAATGAGTTCTAATTGTAATTAACAGCATCTGTCATTTTAAGTTGACTAAGCACAACAGTTCTGGGCTGCTGCTGCTGATCTTTATACCATGAGGCACAGAAGGCTTATTCCAGAAAGCACTTTGTCCAGGGAATGATTTCTCAGAGGGCGGAAAGCCAGGAAGCACAGATCAGATAACAGCAGTGCTAAGACTTCCTGATTTAACACACCTAGGACATGAGGGAAGAACTGAGAAGTGGAAGTATGGAGATGAACAGACTGGATATAAATAATGGCAATTATTTCCCAATCTCTCCGTTAAAGAAATACACTGGTGATAAAAGCAATCAGAAAAAGGAGCTTTTGTGACCAGAGTAAAGCTTACAATGCACATCACACAGAATTTAAATCATCTCCCTTCCGAGGTATTGAAAACTCTAAGGAAAATTTAAGGCTGAAGTTCCAAAACCAAGTAAAGAAAATCACAATGAAATACACAGTTTCTATTTCTACAACACTGTCACAAGTGAAAAACAAAACATTGGATCAGCAAGCAAAAAACTTGAATTTTTACATTTATTGCAGTATTTTTGTTTACCAAGGACATATTCAGTGGTTTCAAATGTCCAAAGGAAACTCTGATGAGTCTTCCCTTAAAAGCCATTGATTTATGCCCCTCTTCAAAGCAGAAAATTCAGTTTTTCCTATTCCAAACATCTTAAGAACTGATTATTCATTTAGAATTATACATATGAGGCAGAGGATTTTTCTTTTGGTTTAAATTAGGAAGGTTCCAAAAACTGTGCTGAGTTTGGTGTACTATTTTGTGCCTGACAGGTCAAAACATTTTCTTGCAGCTACTTTGAACTTCCCTGAGAAACTAATTTGTTTATTCAGTCTCAGGATTAATCTGATCTTCATGGAGAAATTTTGTTCTGGAGATTTTTGTTTCATTACAGTCATCTTCAGTTCTTAGAAGCAGTTCTGGTTTTGATGGAAAGGACAGACCTATATAAGATACAGATCTAACCTCTAAAACTGAGGGTAACACTTTTCTATGAAAGGCAGGGCATGCCTAGAAAAAAAAGAGTCTGGTTTAAATGACAAAATTGTTCAGCAATAATTTTAAACATTGTGTCATCATCCATTTAATTTATTTACAGAATTCTTCTATTGGCTTTTCTTTTTCAAGGACTAAAGTTTCCATTTGTTCCTCTTGCAAATACAGCAGTAAACACTAACATAAGTTGTCATTACAAATACTTAGATGACTTTGTTGAAAGCACTTTTACCTCAGGAGTCCCAAGAGCCATCAGATCCAGTCTGGCTTAAGCCAGCAAAATGTTTCTTTAGATAAAAGCAAGAAATGAGAACATATCGGAGCCTGTGTTCTAGTTAAATGTAAAATGATTATGTCTCAAGATATCATTGTCAATGGCCCTTTATTTAAATGAATCCAGTTGATATGAGCTGAATAAATCACCTCAAGGAACAAGATGTTATCTCAGAGCTCTAAAAAATGCAGCAAGCTCCACACTTGCTCTAAATCTCCTGAACTCAGTCTCTTGAATGAAACATGGATTTGAGCAATTCCCTGTGAGGTGCCTCCTCCAAAAAAACACCACCAGTGGAGGGCATGCAACCCCACAGACCTTGCAGTTTGCAGGAGGATAGGTGGTAATTTCTAGAACTGAGATTAATATGATCCTCTACCACAAAGCAGCAGAATGGATTTTTATTTTCAATTTGGAATTTGTTTTAGAGATGTTTAATTTGTAATTATATCATGCTGACTGAATGCTTAGTTGTGTTGTGGCACTCTTCCCAGAGATCCCCGTGGATGCAGCTTTTAACAATTTCTTTCTGTTTCACAGATGGTCTGTATTTGCCTTTTGCTTTATTTATTATTTTTTTAAGAGCACTAATTGCAAGATTTAGAAATGAAAACAAAGAGCAATAATGAAAATGGAACAGTTTTAGGCTTCAAGTGGTTACTTGTCTCCAAAATTTCTTGTGGAAATGAGCTGCTTCAGTTTGCTGCAAAGGCTGCAACATAACATTGATCTGCAATTATGGTGTGAAATTTCAGCAGTATGTAATTAATGCCTTCAGAATTATGTTTGAGCAGGTCACACGGTTCTCACAGGTATCCCTATTATCAACTGCAGCCAACCTCTGCTAACCAACTCACTAAAAAAAACCCAAACAAAACAACAGCAATGAGAAATGAGTTCATGATATCTTCCAGACACACTCCAGATAACAGCAGGAAGGGGGTCCCAGCCACAGCTGTGCTGTCCCCCAGACAAGCCTCCAGGCTGACTCCCCCTTCCATGCACTTCATTCCCAGTGACATTTCTTTGATGGGACTGCAAAGTCCTGATTGATTGCAGCAAATCACAAGCAGCCCTAGTTCTCCTCAGAAGCAAACACTGGGCTCTTGATCCCAAATATTCTGTATTTGAGGATGTTGTGGAGCTTGGCTTTAAGCCCCTCACTTTCCTGCCAATTTCAAATGTGATTCAAATCTCAGTTAATTTTCTCATCTGTTGTAGTCATTCTCACAGGACTTTGTTAGAAGCAGAATACAGAGGGGATTGTAAGAAAATTAATGGGGGGAATTTCTGGACCTGGCACTTCCCAGAAGGATTTAAGAGGCCAAATCAGATGATGAGGCCATCATCTTAATATTAATCCCTTCCTTCCACACACATTTTTTAGGCCTAGGAAGAATTCTCTGTTGCCTAGACTTTAAATACAAAAAACTACTCATGTAGGGACAACCTCCACTGCAGAGGATATGCTGTTTGACTGCTTTGTCATTGATGAACAGGAAATTGCCAGCTAATAAAGGATGGTGACACAGCAAAACAATCCAAGAATAAATCCTAGACCACATGGCTCCTTCCCAGTAAGTTAAATTTCAGTGGAATTTTCGTTGTTGTTCTCATCTGACCACAAAGAGAAACTCAGGCCGTAATCAGCAGTGATTTTAAGACAAAAGTAAGTAAATAAATGCTACAAAGAATCCTTCTCAGGCTGCTGGCAACAGCACAGCTACAAAATTAGCCTCTGCTTGGGACACTCAAACAGATGGGTGTCACCCAGGTGGAACAGATGACACATTAAACAACAGACAGTCTCTCACTCCATCATATTTGACCCCAAAATAATGACAAAGCTCATATTTAAGGAACAAATTACCCAGATCTGCTAGACATTATTCTAAGTGATCCCATGTGAATTTAGAGACACAGGTACAGAACAGATTGTGTGATGTAAGTGCTTTATCTTCACTGATTTAACCTACGGGCATTATAGAAAGGTAAGTCTGTAGCTGAGCTTCCTACACAAAATAAAAACCAAAAACGTTTTTCCCTGTCTGCAAAGCAGATATTTTGTTGTAAAAAAAAACAAGAGGAGGGAAGACCATCATTAGTTCCATTCAAAAGCAAAACACAATGAAGAAATAAAGTGCAGTGTACAGATTTGTAAGACTTGTTGTACAGCACAGACAGGCCCCAGAGGATAAGGGACATTTTAAACAGAGCTTGATCAGGTCAGGTAGAACTGGATTTGAGCCCCCTAGAATTCCTGACATGTTGAGCCAGGTAACCCTGAACAACTAAAGATGATAAAACTAAAGGTGGTTTTAAAGCTTGACTATTTCAAAGAGACTGTTTTCCATCAGTATCACAAGAGGGAAACAACCAAGACCAAAATAATGTCTCACAGCTTTTATTTTATGCGTGAATCAACTGGTCTAAAGGAAATACTACCTTCTTTGACTGGGAGGGTGGAAGAGTTCAGGGATACAGTATGTATTTTTAAAGGAAAACCTAATACGCATGTTTGGAAAGGAAAAGGACAAGACTTAAGCTGCTGGCAGTACTTGCAGACATCCCCAGACATTTTGAATAGAAGTATTCTTCTGGGGGCTTTCACCTTGTCTGAAGGTTTTGTACGTGTTCCAGGTCTTGCACTGTTTATTACATTTTAGAAAGTCAAGTTATTCTTTCCTACTGCACTGCAAACTAGAACATTACTCTTGCTAATTTTGGGGACTCAAGAGCAAACAGAGCAGGGGAAGAGGCAGACACAGATGAAAGCACAATTCTAAAAAAGCATTTTAAGTTTCCACTTAAAAAAATAAACCACAACCAAAACAACCCCAACTAAACCAAAGAGGAGAAGGAAGGATTTTCCTCAAACCTGCAGCAATAAATTGGGTTCATTTTTTGCTTGCAACATTAAAACCATTGCTACAAATCTACCTGACCCTGCACTGCATCAGCAATACAGGAAACGTGACAAGGGGCAACTTCCAACACTTTTGTCCGACCAAGACAAACAGAGACTCAACCCTGGAGATTAATATTAAAGCCATAAATAAAGAGATGGCATGCAAACAAAGCCACTGCATATTACAGGTAATTCTTTCAAAGAGATATTAAAAAGAATTAGTGAAACTCCAGCCCCTCACACTGTGGTCTCACTTCATTTCCCAGGCATTTGAGAAGACAACATTCCTTCCATCCTGCCAGCACGCCAGCTCGGATGTAGAGGAACTGTTCTGCTCCACTGAGTTTGCACTGTGTGTTGTAGGACCATTCAGAGCTCTGCTTGGCACATAATAACTGCTGTGGTTTAATCTTCACCCTACATTCCAAAAAAGAGCTACTGTGTTATTGTCAAAGTTTACTATTTACTATTACAAAGTTTACTCTCCAAGAGCTACTGATATTATCCTTACGAAGTTCAGACTTGTGGGAATTGTGTATGGCCAAGTGAGAAGGCTTTTAGAGAAATTCCATCAGCTTCATCAACTTTGCAAATCAAGAAAATTGCTTTTGAGGTGAAGAAACCACATCTTTGATGACACCAAACATTTATTCATTCCTAAAACAATTCTGACTCCTGGTGATTATCCAATGCCTCGTTTTGTTATGCACCATATGAACAGAGTAAAGAGTTTCTTCTCTACAGAGTTTGTAGTTTTAAGATAAGAAATGGATTGACAGACCTGGATATGTCTGTTTCCAAAGCTGACTGTTCTTCCCAAGTGACACTCCCTGCAGGAGGCATCCCTTAACCTAGGGATGCTGGGCTTCTAAACCTCCAATTTATTAAATTCTTTAATATTCTTTTATTTAATTTAATATAATTTAAATTCTTTAAAGTCTTTAGTGGATAGCATGGCTCAACCTATTGCATCTCTGAAGGAAATGTTTCCCATGTCATCCTTGACCAATGGTTATTGCTACCAGAGCTTATTAGAGGTTCATCTGAGAGAGAGTGGCTTTTAATGAAGGTTGCACTCCTCATCATTTGCAATCTTCAATTTTACATTTCTTGCCACTAGGAAATATCCAAAAGTCACCCTTTGCCAGTATTTAGAAGAGGGAAGAAGGACAATCATGGTTTTGCAAAATTTGGTTTCTCAGGAACCAACTCCCCAAAGCCATGGAAACTTCACTGATGTTTTTAATGAGAAAGGGATTGGTCCCTGTATTAACTCAGGACCAAAGTGTGATTTCCCCTTCCCCTCCAGTCTCCTGAGAATAACATATTGGGGAAATTACATCTTGTCACACATGCACATCAGCAAAAGCATCTGGGAATTCCCACCCAAGGTAAGCAAACACAGTTAATTCAAGCAGGGCCTCCTGGCACAGACAAAAGTCTTTTAAATTAGCTCCTGCATTTTTGGAAGGCCTTTCTTCAGCACTTTAATAATAAGAACTCTGTTTAATAATGAGACGTGAACAAGTAAGAGACACTGGATTTCCTCCAGCTTCTCCTGGCTTCGAAAATTCTCTCTTCTTCCACAGATTCACTGGCCTTATGAATGGCTGTGGGAGGAATCTGGGAGGCCGGAGGTCCTCCTCAAGCTCTGCTGGGAAACAGTCCTGAGTATCCAGCACTGGAGCTGAGATGTGAGAGCAGTTCCCAAATTAGCCACAGTAACTCCGTGTATGGCAATTACTGCTCTGTCATTTGGCAATTCTCAGTGCTTCTTTACAGCACTGCTCTTGTTTTTGAGATGTCAATTACAAGCCTGAATAATTGCACAGCCAGGGTCACAATAAATGACCATTTTTCAAGTTAACTGCCTGGTACTTCAGATAAACAATGAGAGATTTGGGCTTCAGTTCCAGTAAAGCTCTCTTACTGCCAATGACATGCGAGTTTCCTGGCTTCTGGCAGCCATCAGCAACACTGTCCCAGCTGAACAGCTCCAGAAAGCAAGCACCCTTGCAGCAGAATTTGGGTGGGATGGTTGGGGTGGTTACTTAAACAGTGCTCACATAAACCAAGAGATGAAGGGCAGTGAGAGGTACTGCACAATGACTGCCCCTTACCTTGAGTATGGAATACTCAGGGAGATGGAATAATGTTGTAATAGCAGGGTTTTGCCAGCTAATTAACCTGATCTAATCAACATACCTGTATTGCTGCAGGTGTACCAGTTAATTTTCATCAATGTAGGGAATCAAAGACTGATTTGATTCCATACTGATATGGAATTACACACATGGAATTGTGCTCACTTCCCCTAGAACTGGTACAGGCATATCCTGAAGCTGTGACTCACAGGCAGAACTGCAAATGCAGGGAGCAGCAGATGGAATATAGGAATTAACACCTCAAAAAGACACAATTCCTTTCAGTTTACCGGAGGGATCCTTTTTCTATAAGGCTCTTTTGAAAAAAAAAATTAAAAAAATACTGATAATAGATAGGTATTCTAAAAAAAGAGGTATTTAGATGATCTTCTGTGATATTAACAGGAGGTGAATTAGTTCAGAGTTGTATGACTACACTGTAGATTAATGTTGCTGATTGAGAAACTGTTCTGCTTCAGAATGTGTGAATATATGTACATATATAAATAAAAGTTATTTTATACAATTCCTCTGGGGTTATTCTGGCTCTCCAGTCCTGACAAATAGGAAGTGTTTGTTGTTTGGTTTTGTTTTGTTTTGTTTTGAAGTGTAGTCAGTGAAAGCAGTGACTCAAATTACACCTTGGAAATAAGTAAGTTCACCAACTATGTTATTTTTAGTCATCTCTCCAAATCTGCAATGCTGGTTAAATATTTGGTCTCACAACGCAGTGGACGAAAGTTTTGGATAGCACTAAACCCCATTCTACTTCAGCTGGAATAAAACACAGTCGGGGAGAATCTTCCCATTACTTCTAAATAAAAACTGCATGCTATCTTTACTACTCCTGCAATAATGGAAAAATAATCCTATTGTTTGGAGTAGCACTTGGTCCCCAAGGAAAGAATTCCTTTTGAACTAAACACTTTTTTGTTTTGAATCTCTGCTAGGCAGGGAAACCAAATACAGCCCTTGGTTTCTCCCCCTTGTCATGAGCTCTTTCACCATCTGTGCATGATCATGGCCCAGCCTTTCTTTCCACCCTCTGAGAAAGACTCCTCCCAAACACGTCTCAGCATGGGAACACATGGCTGCTGGGAATGGTGCTGCGGAACTCGGGGTTGGAACAAATGTGACATGAAGCCACTCCCCAGGGGTCACCCAGGGCCTGATGTGGAAGGAGAAATTGGGGAGCTACTCTCTCCTCCCATTCTGCATCTCTGCCCCAAACTGCCCTTGTCCCTACAGAGTTTTCAGGGACACAATGCAACAAGCTGAATCCCAGTAGTCACAGCAAACCAGCATCAAAATCAGCAGAAGCACCAGTGTGGGTGCCTTCCAAAAATCTACAGGAATGGGTATTATGAGCAGAATAAACAGGTAGGAAGCCAAAACAGAGAGGTGTGTTCTTTTCTCCCTCCCACTATTCAGCATCAAACCCAGTCTCTGGTTGGTTTGTGCATGCAGCTGAGCTGTTCTCCCTCCTCTGTCACCCAGGCTGGAAGCATCCCTGTGGACACTAGGTCTTGGAGCAACATTATCTGCAAAGAAAAAGCCCATTAAAGACTTCAGAACTATTCATGTTTGGTTAGAAAAGAAAGGTCTTGGTCCTGCAGCTTTGCAATAAATGGTTAATTAATGCAACGATGCTGGTGGCGAGTGGCAGAATTAAGTTTGTAATTTTTCAATTTTTCCAAATTATGTCATACAAACTATGCTCTGACTGTGCTGGTGTGGAATTATCTCAAAAGGGCTGCTGATCTACAGAGAGAGAGGGATAAAACTGGGTAAAACAAACTGTCAGGCTTGTAATGGGTCTCTGTTACTCCCAGAAGTGCCTGCTGCTCACAGCAGTCCTGGCAACTCAGCTGGCTCCAGAACAGCAAGTTCATTCTTGAAGCAGCAGCTCAGCCCCATTTGAATTTGGCAGTTTCATGTAACAGGGAGTTTACATGGGAATTTTATAGAGTTTACACACAAGAAGATAAAAAAATAAACAAAAAACCCAAACAAACAAACAAAGAAAAACCCAAACCAGTTACAAGACATTTCATTCACTTGATACCTGGTGATGTTGGTTCAGCTCCTGTAGATGTCCTGCCTGAGTTGGTTATGGGAGGCCAACCTGCTCTGCATGGAAGAAGGTCAGTTCCTCCCATTCTTCAGAAGGATTTTTTTCTGGCAGTGTGACTGATGGGATGACTCAGGCCTGCCAGTCACCTCATCCTTGTAAGCAGAGCTGAAAATCTCTTGTCACTCCATAACTTTTCTCCTAGATTCGATTGCCCTCTCCAACTCTCTCCTCTAAAAAAAAAAGGAAAAATGTTCTCCCAGCCTCTCCATCAGCCGTGCTCTGGGATATCTAAAGGAGTTCAGTGCAAGCAAACAGTCTGAACAGTTTTCTCCTCACCGTCCCAGAGTCACTCCTTTGCCCACCTGGGGACTGCTGTAGGCACACACAGTCTCCTACATTTTCCAGCTCACATTTTCAGCACACCTGGCAGCAGGCAAACTCTCAGGTGCCTCCTGACAGCCACTCATCACTGGTCCATGTCCCTTACAGGGATGGAATTTGCAGGTGGCTGTGCCCTCCAGGCTGGCTCAGCTTGGGACAAGGGTCTGGTTGCTATGATTAAGAAGACCTCTACTACATTTCAGGAAATCCTCAAGGAGCAGAAGCCTAAAAATTTGTTTTATAGAGAGAATAATACCATGCCATCAAAATACAAAGCCCTAAACAGAAGGTGGAGTGAGCTGGGAATGATGATACCGGGATGCAAGAGAGAAACAAGGCACCTGACTGGGACTTGGCTCCAGCGGGGAGCAAGATGTGCCAACTCCCTGAAATCTCAGGCATTTCCCAATTTCCCAAGCACATCACATGTAAAAGCTTAGCTCTGCCATCACACCAAGCTCTGCACAAACAGCCTTTATGTCCAGAGGAGGAGCCTCTGCCTGGCAGAAGCTGGAATCGCCTGTGGCAGATGTTGAAATCGTTTCTGTGCTGAACGCCATGGCACACATCTCCAGGCACAGGATCTCCATTCCGTGGTGCGGAGAGCTTCAGGAGTTGGCCCGTAGAAGAACAGACATTAATTAATCAAAATGTAGCTTCTGACAGCTTTTTTGAAAATCTCTTGTCCTGGTTTTGGCATCACAACATTTAAATTTATCATTATGTGCTTTTTAAAAGCCTGATTGGAAAAATTACATCATTTTGGACTTTCTCAACATTTTGGTGCGTCAGCTCCCAGTGTCTAAAAGTCCCATAAATAGATGTTGGACCACCTCAATACAATTCCTGTCTGCAGATTTTCCATAACATGCTTCACTCTATTATTCAAATAAAGTCCAAGTGGATCTTTTCCTGGGAATAGGGGTTATGCAATGCTCAGCACAGGAGGCTCAAGAAAAACAGTGCAAAGCTGCAAATGCTTGCAGAGCAGCAGAGTCTGTTTATATTTATTTATATGTTGTGTTTCCATTTAATCCTCTCTGAACAGCCCCCAGCTCCTTTTGCCTCTTTTGATCTACCAGACTCTTTCTCTCCCATGTCTTGGCACATCAAGAGTGTGGCCAAGCAGCTACACATCAATCTGCCAACAAATTAATGATGAAAATAGCAGGATGATCAAAACAGTCATCTAATGAGAGCCTTATGCTTCTAGGAACTACTGTTCCAAATTAAAATTAGAAACCTCTACAGTATTTTGCCAAAATCCACCAAATTCTAGGATCTGTCAAAAAACCAGAATATTTAGTTTCAAGTCAGAGATGTAACATGACTTTAATCCAAAGACAGACCCAATAAACCTCATTTATGGATGAATTTCATTATCTGTGTTGCCAGCCATGAGCATTTTAGTAAGAAAGTTCTTGAATGCAAGGATCCTCTTTAGCATCACCATTTCCATTTGTTTTCCATTCTATTTTCACCAGACTGGTGAGACATTTCACTTTCAGTGTGACTCAGAATGCCAAGTTCAGAAAAAAAAATATCTCCATAGTTACACACCTCTCTCTTGCAATGAAGTGCCAGGTCTCCAGTGCCCAGCTTTCAAACTGTCAGTGCTGTAACACAGCAAAAATGTCGTGCCTCAATCACCATGATAGACTCTTTCCCAGTTGTCAGCCAACACCTAAAACTTACAGCAACATTTTCCTCTCTGCAAAGACAGCTGAAAGACCCCATGGAAATTATCTAAAAATCCAGTTGGCAATGTAAAAGAAAATTCTGTGTAGAGATGCATCCAGTCTGCAATACCAAAATGAAGGATTCAGCCTGAATTGTATTTCAAGTCTAACTTTCATGTTTGCAACCTACAAAAATTAAGAACAAGGTATTAATTAAGAAATAATTACATTCTATTCTTTCATTTAACAGAAGTACAGCAATGTTATGTAGGTGATCTCCACCTTTCTTCAGAAAACATTAGGAGACATCCATACAGGCAATACCATTAGCCAGAAATGCATGGCCTGAGTTAGAGGTAAGCCCACAAGTGGTTTTTGTTATTTATTTCCCATTTCTAGAAATAAAAAATTACCTTGTGACTGTCTCTCATTTTGACTTCTGCTGTTACATTCTAAAGTCACAATCTCATCTCCCTGTTTGCTTTATAAAATCATTAGGCTGCATCCGGGCTTCTCCCACTCACTCATGGACTTACAAATCCTGAAAATCCTATAAAAACATAAATTTGTTCGACACAGACGAGTTCAGGATCTGATTCCTTCTAGGGCCTGTGATAATTTCGGCATCAGTCTGAAGCACCAGCAGCACCAGGTCCAGAGCTCTCCTCCACGCCTCTGTCTTGGCTGCAACGTTATCACAAACCTTTAAATCTGTGAACTGGTCAGGGAAGGGATCACAGCCACCCCTGAGCACTCCACCTCTCCTAAACTCTTCTAAAATATAAGCTGAGGAAGAGCCACAGGCCGCTGCTTTCTGGAGGTGGTGATCTACTAAGGCACCTGCTTCCAGCTCCGAGCTGGCCTTTGCAGTATTACACAGGACCACGGCGAGGTACCGCTTCCAGCCACTTGCCAGTGCCTGGAGCACAACGGATTTGTACTCTGCCAGCCAGGGACTGGGAAACTCTGTCACAACTCTGTCGTTTCCCGGTCGCCCGGGCTGCCCTTCGAGCGCCTGGATGTGACTGAGGCACAGGAGCTCCACCGCACCGCCCCCAGGGAAAACCCTCCCGTCCTTTAGAGCGTGATGGAGTCGATACAGCAAAGTCCAGAACTGATCTTCGAGGAGCTGTGCCTTGGAAGGCAGGGCAGTGGTGAGCACGGCCGTGAGCAGGGCGATGCCTCCCGCGCTGATCCGCGCCGGCACCAGCTCGCCCAGATCCACCGCACGCCCATCGCTGGCCGCCCACAGCTCCACCCAGGCCCCATTCCCGATACGGGAAGCGTTCAGCTGGCTCAGGTACGTCACTGCCTGGGCACCAGTGGCCGCCCCAAAGGCACACAGCACATCCCGGGACACGCAGCCGATTACCAGTATCCTGCTGGCGATGCACCTTTCCATGAAATTCTTGCACACGCTTCCTTTGACCAAAACCAGGTTTACTTCAAAGCTCATCAGAATATCCGACATTCTGCTTAGCCACAAGTCTCCCGCCCTGCCTCCCTGTGGGTTGGGATGCTCCAATACGGTCCTTACATTGCGTGGTCTGTTAAAACCTAAGTGTCGGTACTGCTCCGTGAGGTCACCATCCATCAGCAGAATCCGGAGGGGCTTGTCTGCAAGGTGTTTGATGACTGTGGCTTGCTCTGGTGACACTAATGTGACAAAGCCTGGGGAGACACAGGAATAGCTCTCAGGCAGGCCCAGCACACAGCACGTCACAATCTCTGCAATATTAATCTGGGAAGAGCCGCTGCACTCTGCTCTCTCTTGCTGATAAGCAGCAATGCTTTGTAGCAGTTTCACGCTGCTCTGGTTTCCATGGCTCAGAGCCATTGCCAGGTGTCCCAAACCGCGACATCCACACGGATCTGCTCGTGGTCCTGAAAGGTATCCCTGAAAATTATCCTGCTGACTTGAGAAATGGCTTTTCCCTAGAGCGCTGAAGTGTCTGCTGTGGGTTAGCTTCCGTGTGATACAGCTGGATGCAGTAACACCACTTCCAGACAGAGCAGATGAACTTTTGTCACTCACTGCTTTGACAACAGAAGCTGCTGAACCAAAGCCAGCCAAGGGTGAAACCAGGCATTTGTTAAAATTACAATCATCCCCTTGATGGGAACAAGAATTTATTGGAATTACTTCTGTTGCAGAAATATCTCTCTGAAAACACAGCAAATTCCAAGGATGTGTGAGACTATCACGTCCAACTTGGCCAGTTCTGCTTTCAAAAGCCTTTGGCCTAACTCTGCTAGAACAAAGCTCTTTCTTTACATCATGTATTGGTATCTGAAGACACTGGACTCTCTCACAGCAAGAGTTCAACCCCTCAGACATCACAGACACTATTGCTGGAACAGGAACATTCTGCTGGAGGCACTCCACCACAGCATTGCTCCATGCCCCTACCAGGAACAACAGGGTGCTCATCCCAGTCTTAAACTCCTTGTTCTGAGCCTGAATGGTTTCATGAAGAAGCTGTCCAACAGCACTCGTCAAATCCAAACTCTCAATCAGCCTAACAGCAGAAAAAATCAATCTGCTCTGGTTGGTGCTTTCATCCACAATGAATTTATGTGATTTCATTGGTCCCAGAAATGTTCTCCCAGTGGATGCTAAGGATGAGAGTTGCTGGAGTCCAATGTGTCTCCTGGCATTCACATCCCTGAAAGCCATGGGCGGTGGGCAGCATCTGTGAACAGATCACAAATTACTGCCCCATCCTCACAGCACACCAGAGCACCAATCACCAAAACATTAATTTAACAGTCTACCCCTGAACACAGCTTTCCTCTGTATAAAGCAGGTCTTCTTCCTGCACGCTTATTACGAGAAATCAATGGGCAGAGCTGCTGAAATGGGGCACTGTTAAAATGGAATTGTTTCTGGCTGGATGATAGTAAAGAGCTGTTAATTCCCACGGTTTCTTACACTTCCAGCAGCACAGGCTGTGTGGAACTACCACCTCCCTCCTGCCCTGATGCCTGGAATTTCAGTTATTTGCCTTACTTAGGGCAAAAGTTCATTAGAGCAGAATGGACAAATTACATGTAAAACTCAAGAGCTCTGCACAGATCCTTCTTAGTAACAAGTCATGCCACTGACTTTAACTTTCAAGTCTGGAAAAACATATTTTATTCCAAATTCTCTTTAGTCCAATTAGCATGCATGAATACTTCATAAGTGAAATAAAAGCAATGCCACTTCTTCATAACTTAGAAATTATCGAGACTTCAAAGTTTTGACCAACCATTCATTCTTAACACACCAAAAAGAAATCTTCTTTCCCTCAAAATCTCTTCCACACCATGGTCCCGTGGCAGATTAAAACAAAGCTCCCTTTTTGAATAATGAAGTATACACAACAAGAATTGAGAACCGTGAGTCCTGTACCTCTGATGCTCAGATTCAAATCACAGAATGGTCTCGGTGAGAAGGGACCTTAAAGCTCATCCAGTTCCAACCCCACTGCCATGGGAAGGGACACCTTCCACCAGACCAGGTTGCTCAGAGCCACGTCCAACCTGGCCTTGGCCACTTCCAGGCTTGGGGAATCGACAACTTCTCTGGGCAACTTGTTCCAGTCCATCACCGCCCTCACAATACTTTCTTCCTAATATCCAACCTAAATCAGCTGTCAGTTTGAACCCATTCCCCCTTGTCCCATCACTATAAAATATAATAAATATATATTATATAATAAAAATTATTATCATATACTATTAAATAAATAAATAAATAAATAAATAACGAATAGTTCTGCCTCTATTTATCTTTCCTACAAATTCCCTTCACGTACTGAAATTTATTCACATCATTTATTCCAACTCCCTGAAGGCCCCTTTGCGTAGCTATTCCAAATTCCCAAAACCAAAAAAGCGTTTTGCTTTGTTTTTTTTTTTTTTGTTTCTGTTTGTTTGTTTTTCCCGTCCCACACAGCGAAAGCCCACTTGAATACCACGTCGCAGTATTGCTAGGGAGAGGAAGCGCGTCCCGGCCTGCCTGCCCCACACGGCCAAGGGGGGGAAGCCGCCCGGAGCGGACACACCGGAACTGCACTGGCGGCGGCCTGGCCGCTTCCTGAGGGCCGGAGGGTGCCCGGCGGGCCGGTGCGGGTGTCTCACCGGAGGGGCCGCGCTCCCGGCGCTCCC